AACTTAGCCTTAGGTTTTTGATTGCAGACTGATATAAGAACAGTGCTCAGAAAAAGACATTGATCAGAAATGAAGATGGTGATAAAAAAAATAAATATAAATAAATAAGTATAAATATAAGATTTAATTTGTAATTCTATTTGTAAATTAAGAATTAAAGAATTGTAATTTTTTAGTTTTAATGGACTGGTATTATTTTTTTGGAATTTTAATGTTTTACCTGGTAAAGGTAAAGGTAGGAGAATAACCCATAACTCGCATCGTCATTGTGCTGAATAGTCACCGTAAAGAGGCGCTTCTATCTGGTAGCTACATGTTTCCATCATTCCACAACAACAGGGGCTGAAATGAACCATAACATTGGGGTAGCCCCCTAATCTTCCGAAAGATGCAATGGGTTTTTTAAAGTGCACATGATCCAGATATGGACACTGGATCTCCATTTTAAGTCATCCGAGAAAACTTAGTTCTACCAACCGAATCCTGGGCGAGGAGATGCTCGAACAGCAACGATGTTAAGGCTGTAGTTAGCGATGCCCCCTGCTTTACCATTCGGCCACTTGATTCAGTGCTTAGCATACAGTCCTTCATTTCTTTGCTGAAGTTCTCAATTATCACAGCTTTTGTTTCCTTAATTAATGAACCTCACATGGAAACACAGCAGTTTAAGCAAATTATATAAATGTTTTCTCTGCTTAAGTTCTCAATTATACGAGATAAGATCATCACACCTATTTAATAGTCAAGCCAAGATGTAGTTCTGTGCAGACCTCAATCCACACATGTTTCTATATTCACTCATTGTATAGCCTCATTCTATTCAGCATCTTCTTGTAATACGGTACCAATCAATTAGCTGTGTTGAGATCTAACATTAATGATATAGCATTTGTGACATATTACAGGTATCATATTATTCTTTGTACAATTTTGTGTAGAAAATATTAACCGAAAAAGTGCACTTATCCTGCATCATGGTACAAATGTTTTATTTACTTCTGAAGTATCCTAGATTTTGTTAAGTACAGTATTTCTAATAACCGTCACTTCCAAACATAACATTCTAGGAACATGGTAGAAAAGCTTTCAGCTTTAAATTCTTAAATAAGAACTTGGAACAGAATTTTTCTTGCAAATATTACCCAAATGTTTTCTTTGTTTAAGTTCTCAATTATCCCACATTTTGTTTCTTTTATAAATGAATGCCAATTGGAAACACAACTTTTCTAGCCATTTGATACAACTGTTTTCTTTGCTTAAGTTCTTCAGTTAAATTTAACCAGTGAGTTGATTTAGCCAAGAGTATTTTGATAAAATGTTGCTTAATGTCAATCAAGCTGGTTATATGTGGTTAACCTTAGTTTGTTTTCTTATCCCCGTCATTTTTAGGTCACAGATGTGATTATTTTAGGAAAGGTGAATTGTTCCAAAAAACTGTAATTGAGTTTGGCTGTGTTAAATTTCTGACCCTTGGCTTAATGTTTGAATTTAGTGTGACCCACTCTTATGAAGAAAAGCAATCCCCATCAAAATATTTATCCAAAATTATCCGCCAGCCTATAGGCCTGTTGCAACAGGCGAAGCAGACATGAGGTCATGGCGTTGGGAGGACCTAACCATGATCTTACTCTGCTGCCTTTGCAACTGTTACAAATTTCAGCAGGTGGCGAAGAGCTAATTGCCTGCGCTGCAAACAGCTTGCCTGCTTTGAATATTCCATGAGCTAGTAACTAGCATTTACCGCCCCAGGGTTCTGTTAAACAGGGTGCAGCCCTCTAGGTTGGAAATTACTAAGAAGTACAAACAAACAAATGTTGATGAGGGTGGGAATGATCATGTGACCTTGGCTTTGCTATTTGATTGAGATTTTGTGATTAATATGTGATTTACAATGTATAGACTCATTTCCTACAGCTTGTGGCAATACCTAAGGATAAACTTTATCTTCATCTTTTCAACCCTCCTTAGTTATCCCAACTGAAGGAATATCTTACCTAAAATCTTTGTCATAACCAGTCATATACTTTATGCCAATTTTTTCAATAATCTTAACAACTTCACATTTTTTTTTGTATTGAATTTTGTATTGAATTTTGTTTTAATGTTTTTAAAATTTCATTATTTTATATAAATTTTTGTACCTATTTTATTAATTTTTAATTTTCTCAAATTACATCTAATTTAGGTTTCAAATGTCACAACATTTTAAAAATATTTTTTGCCTTCATGCATGTATATACTGCAGTAGTGTCCAAACCCTTAAATTTTCTTTGACAAAAAACTGTTGTATGCCCATATATAGTCATGATGTGCACATATATAGTCATAATGTGCCTAAAAAAAGTCCTGATGTGGCCATACATAGTCATGATGTGCCCAAATATAGTCATGATGTGCCCATATATAGTCATGACAAAATTTGATAGTCTGGACAGAACTTAAAGGTTAAGATACCTGTCACAAAACAAAACATCACATAAATATAAAATATTAACAAATAAGCAAACAAATTTGGTGGTAATAATTTTTTTGTCAAATATGTGGAGACCTGAATACCCTTAAAGAGGCTATCTACTCTCCAAACTGACTATCGTCTGAGCTCCCCAATTAATAACACATCAAACCTCCAAAATATTGTACCTGGCAACATAGAATCACACAAGAAAATCAAAATCAGCGAAGGCGAAAAAAAAAAAATGAAAAAATGAGTGATTATTCTGTGTTTTAAAGTAGAGGCTTGGTCAATACCGAAAGTGAGAATACTATCAGGGCTCGAAATTCACGCTAGCAAACTAGCAATTTGCTAGTAGGTTTGTCATAATTGCTAGGTAAAAATTCACAAACCAGCAAATTAAAAAAAATGATTGCTAGTTGAAATATCTATACAAAATATCTTATCTTGTAATTAGCCTAGTACTAACTAAAACTAGACTAAACTGATCTACAAAATCTAATACAAATTTTATTAAATTTATTTATTTCTTTTTTAATTATGAAAATCGACTAAAAATGCCTATAATAGACGAAAAACGAACATTTTTTTCATCTTGAGCACAAGATGTGAAGTGCGCCACCAACATTAATTTTTTAAAACCTTGCATTGCTTGCATGCATGCAAGAAGCTAAGTAGTAAAGCAGTGTGTAGGAAAAAAAATCGCTCACATGTGTTTGTTGACGAAAGTCATGGGCGATGCAATCGGTAGTTAAGGCGAACATATCTAATTTGGTTCTTTTTAGATAATAAACAATGTTTCAGATATGATAATAATAATTTACTATGAAGCTTAGAAAAATAATAGGTTACAACCTAGGCTTCAATTGGCAGATGTTTTAGGCCTAGCCTACTAGACCCAAGCCTAGCTAGTCTGGCTAGGCCTAGTACTGTAGTAGTAGCAGACCTCCTAACCTAGGCTAGGCCTACTACTGCACCAGCGGCTGCCTACAAAACGTCTAGCCCCAGCTTTAAAAGACCAAGGCCTATCAAAATAAATATTGTACAAACAAATCTTTTATGTAAAATTGAGTTTCTGTTACGGCATTTTTCTGTCAAAGATTTGGCTTGCTACCAATGCAGTTTTTGAAATCTCTGGCCTAGCCCCTAGCTAAGCCTGCCTCTAGGCTAGCTAGGCCAAGGCTAGTCTGGCAAAAAAAAAAAACACTCCCCCAGCCCACCCCTGAATATTTCTGAGGGTGTGACACTAAACAAGTATATTTTTTTTAAATTTTCAAAATAATATGATATAAAATTAATATAAAATAAATTTTATTTATAATTATATTATTTTGAGAAATTCCAATAAGCAGTACATATTTAATATGAAAACAAAATCACAGATACAAAATAAAAATTAAATGAATGATAAATTTAACTTATTTTTAAAAATATATTAAGTATAATATTAAATTTTTATTTTGTATCATGATGTTTTTTTTCATATTAAAAATTTTTTGACACTGAAGTGAATAAATGTACAAGGTATAGAAATCGATTTTTTATACTCACTTGGCTATTTCTTTGTGATATTTATTGTAATACTGTACACTCACCATAACAGAAAATATTATATTAAAACATTTAACACACAAATTTATAGAAGTACATCATTAGTTATTTTCATACAATCTATTTTCCGAAAATAATATGTTGAGTTGGTATCAATATATTTTACTAGTTGAGAAGCTCATTTTGCTAGTTACATTTTTAACAACTAGCACATTTTAGCAATAGGTTGCTAGTGGCTGAAAAAGTAAATTTCTAGCCCTGGTTTTTTATATCATCATAAGTTCTAATTAAAATTGTACTGTAGTTTAACATTTTTTTTTTTATTATTACTGTATTAAGGCTTTAGCAAATACCTGGAAAGGCCAATGGTACTACTTAGCCACAGGCATCCTTTTAACAGTTAAGTAATAATACAGTAATAATTTAAAAAAATGTTTTAATCATTGTTGAGATTTTAATTTTTCATCAATTGCAGCTTGCCCTTAGAGCTGGCAATGAGAAAGATGAAGAAACGGCTGATACAGTTGGCTGCTGTTCTTTGAGAGTTGAACACATAAACCTGCATGAGGAACTCGACGGAAAGGAATATGTTGTTGAGTTTGACTTCCTGGGAAAGGACTCTATCAGATATTACAACAAAGTTAGTGTGGAGAAGAGGGTGAGTACAGCAATTATATTCTATTTCTTCATCATTTAGCAAATTACAATTTAGCTTCATCATTCCTATTGGGAAGATCCGGAAACACGTAATTTAAATCAACCTAGTTTTTTAAGTGAAAATACTGTTATGGTACCACTTTCCCTCCTCCATAGTTTATTAGATTCTCCATCTGAATTAGCTTCTCTCAACTGCAGTTTACAACATTTATAATCGCAGAAGTGATGATGATAAAGTAGAGTTCAACTTTAACCTCCACGGTTTACTATAGCTATAAAGTTAACAGAATCACGATTAAAAAAATAAAGATATCAAAATAGCTAATATGATATACCTTACCTTGTTTTGGTTATAGGTATGTCTGAAACACATATTGCCAACCAACCGGATTAGATCTCTCTTGAATCCATGGCTTGGGTGTATATCTTGTTGGCCAGAATAAAGAGTTGAGGATGTTGATTCAATTTTAGGCTTTAGAAGATGAGCACTTTGAAGAAGACCTGTGGCACACAGAAAATAGATTTGGGTTTGTTATTTGGATCAAGAACCAATCATGGACAGTGGTGTAGCTAGAGGTTTTGGCACGGAGGGGCAAAAGTAGAAAATTGCGGGGCCCCCTCCCCCAATTTTAATTATAATATTATGAAGGCTTTAAGCATATCCGTACCTTACGTGCCATGCACTGTAAAAATAAGCCCCACCCCAAATTATAATTATAATATTGTGAAATAAATTGATATTGGTTTTATAGGCTTTAAGCATATCCATAACTTACGTCCATGCCATGCACTGTAAAAATAAGCAAACTGTCTAAATACCATTTATCTAAACCCGAAAAACTATTATTATTCTTTCATAGATAGGAGTTTCTTTCTTACTATTGAAACTGCATTAAGATGTTCATAACTTTGTATACAATTTTACTATTATCCTAAGTTGTAAGGCTGTTGTATTTATCGCATACACCTTAGTATTCATTCTCTAAATTTATCTTATAATAGTAGAGTCTTGTAAGTTGCTGAATTTGTAACATTGTTTGAACTCGCAACTGCATTTTGCGTGCTTTTGCATCAGCAAATAAGTTAATAACATGATCAAAGTTAATGTTGTCTGCTTCATCGTGCTCAATACTAAGGATTGCCAAATTAGATAGTCTTGCTTGTCCCATCTCTTGGATAATGCAGGATGAGCTTTTAGCTTGCTGAATGAGCGCTCACAACTACTGTAGCGACTGAAAAAGCTACCGTCAACATGATTTCCATTGCTACTCGCAAGTTCGAAAAAACGTTCTCATCACCATACTGTACGATAAACTCAAGGTGTTCACTGCGTTTGTGATGCTAGTGTTTGTTCGAATTTTCAACAGCATCCTGCAATCTTTTACTTCACTGCACAGCTCCTTGCCATCTAAGTCGGTGTTGTACAAGTAACGCGATTGCAACTTTCCTTGATGGTAGAGTCACTGCTTTCTGATTCTGTCAAAAGTTCTTGGACATTCAGATTCTTATAATTAACTGGAAAATATTCATGCCTGACATGGACACACATCAATTTCGTCATATTTTTCTAAAAAGTGCTTATTTTTATTACTCTCATTCTCCCATTTCAGCACCCCCAAACCCGGCACCCGGGGCACGTGCCCACCCTTGACCCCCTAGCTATGCCACTGATTATGGATCTACACAAATACCACAGAAAGGTGACAAAATTGATTATAAAAAAAAATATTTCATTATATCTGTTTTAATTTTTTTATTTAAGCACTGCATCTATATTTCTTTTGATGTGTGAATAAAGATTAAACTTACTGAAAATGTGACCTGCCACAGATAAATTTATCCAATCAAACTAATACCTCACTGTTATGTTAACAAATCAACTACACAAGCAACCAGTACACCATATACCTGTATTAGCCAATCAAATAACAATAATTAAAAAATAAATATATGTGAATAAACATAAGATGACAGTGTCAAATCAAGAAATTTGATATAGAGGGCCCAAGGAGGAACTTTGACAGACAGAGGGTCCACCGACTTGCAAGAAAAATTGACCAATTTTGTCAACTCTAGATGGCCAGAAATGGCACTCTCAGACTTTTAATAATTTTAATAATTTTCATTTTTTCTTCATTTTAAAAAGTAATTTTGAAAAATTTAGGGGGAAGGGCCTGGGTCGGCTGGGCAACCCTTGTATCTGTCAATGGATGATGTCTATTATATATTTTATTTCATTATTTACATCTTTGAGCATCACACATTCACATAAAGTATATTAGATAACTTGCACAAAGTTATATTTATAAAAATTATAATTACTTAGGAAGGAAATATTTTTTTTATTGTGAAAAAATAATAAATGAATTTTAAAAAAAAACAACTAATAATGTTCATACGCACTTCCCAACGTTATTGACCACAAATTTTTGATTTGATAAATATCTCAAATTTATCATGTGAACACTGTTTCTAATTTACCATAATTCAAAGCATTACTCTCAAATTGTATATCATGCCTTAGATTTCTATTTATGAGGCATCATCAAGAGTTGCTTCATTCACTGTGACAGCTCCTCCGATGGACTTATCCACTCAAGAGTGTGAGCTTTTTCGCTTTGCACCCTGCCGAGCGGAATTTCACTATTAGGCACAGTTACAAATTCAATCCCGACGGAGAATATAATCCATCATCATAGAATCGCATACCAATAAAATATAATGAAGAAGCATGGAGAAAAAACTGTGAATTGCATATAAGTTGACGATGATGGTGTTAGGTTCACTTGATAGTGATAAAAATTATGTTCATAATGTCACGCTGCATACCAACTAAGGAGGACGTTGAGAGGTGTTTCTTTCCTGGGAATTCAAAACAAGGATGAGATTCGTATGTACCTTCAAAACACCTGTCACATATTGGTTTAACAACACATCGATAATTTTGCACATTTTGTAAATTGGTACAAACAGCTGATAAAAGTATTTGATTTTCTTTCCAAACAAATACAAAAGAAAATAAATTATTCTGCATGATTAAATTTGTGATAGGTTCCCAAGACAACCTGCAATAAGTAGCGAAAAAATAAAAGGAATTTAAAACATTTTTTAAATATTTGCCATCTTTAGAGAGCTTTTCAAGTGAGCTTTGTTGTGAGATCGGTCTTACAACAATCTAATAAATATCCTATAATTATTTAATCAGCTTACGGATAGTATTTATTGGGTTAATCATATTCTTTTAATCTATAAGTAAGAAGATTAAGAATGTCAGAATAAACATTTATACCATCCAAATAAAATTATACTTTCCTGAAATTTCAACTTGTGATAGCCTGGGTTTTGTGGGAAAGTGTTATTACTACATAGACATGAGAAACCACCAAAAATCACATACACTTTACAAACACACATACCCACTAATACATATATACATTAAAGTACATACATAAAGTTCATAAAGTAAATATAGATTCCCAGTGGATGTGCTTAATTAATTGTAACTTATTGTTGCCGGTTTAGCAAATTATTAAACACACAAATAATACCGTTCCTATATCCTTCTGCGTAGACGATGAATTGGCTAGTTACCAAATTCAGGATTTTCGTAGTAAAACACTGTAAATCATTAATGTTCTGATCTATATGTCATTGCATATTCATAAATTGTTTGATCCTTTAAAATAAAGCTGTTAATTTTTATTGAACTTTTATTTACAGTCCTCCCCCCCACCAGATTTTACCCCAGATGGTAAATCTTTATTTTTTATTTAAACAAATTGTGTTGAGTGTTGCAACATGATTTTGATTCTCATGGTGCAAAAAATCCATTCCCGTGATCATAGATAAAGACTTGCGTACGAAGGATGACTTGCTAGAAGATACACACACACCTTCTGTGTATGGTTCAACTTGGCCCACCGCTTGCCCAACGAATCCCATATGGTCTATCATTGCTCGCACATGTCTGACGACACATCGTCGAATGACACAGCAGAATCGCTAGAATTTAACCACTTTATGCGTTACTTTTGAAAACATCAAGTAATTGATGGGGTATCATGAAAGTACATTGCCTAAATACATACATGAAAATGATTAATTTAGTAATCAAACTTGAAATTTATAATTATATTAAGAGGAGGTAGTCCAGCAATTGTAGAAACTCAATGTTACCTTTTGATATTAAATATCATTCACTAAAATATAAATTATGAAAAATTCATTAGCAATTCCAAAATTGTCTCAAATTCCTTATATTTAGGCTTCATGACTTACATAACAATACACCCATTACCATTACAAAATGTTTTATAAAATTGACAGCCCATGGAATTTGGAAAAAATTAGGTCAGCAAAAATTTGCCGACCTTAAATTCTCCAAGGTCAGCAGTCTCGGCAACTTTTTACTACCTAGGGCTATAGTATAAACTGTGATTTTTCCTAACACTCGACTTTACATCATCATCTACAGATCCTGATTTTTGTTAATCTCTCTTAAATTAATATATAGTTGGTGAAAGAATGGTTATACTCGTATAATTTTAAAAGTGTAGTTGATACATAATGTTATGCATAAGAAAATCGCTGAAGAAATGTCATTTTAGTGTTCTTTAGCATGGGAAATATCACTTCCATAAAAGCTACGATTGTATCTCAGGCTGTCTGTGCTTCAAAACAAAACTGCTTATGTATGTCCATGCACATGCCCAGAACAATCTATCTGGGATTTTCCTCATGTACACATCAAGTTGGTACACATGTACTTGAACGAACGGTAGGAATAGGCCTACAATATGATTAATTTGGTTGTTTTTTGCTAATAAACAACATTTTAAATATTATAATACTGTACAATGAAGACAAATAATAGATATAGATAAGCATTACGATCTACGCAGCCTACATGACTTGCCGACATGAAATTCAAGGGCTGAATTTATGTTATTGGATAAGATAAGATACAATAAACTTTATTGTCATAGTCACAAAAAGCAACATGAAATTATGTTGCTTAATGTAGTAATCTACTTTGATAGTAAACCTACATCAATATTTATTTGTCAACAGAAACTCCATTTCTTTATTTATTTAGTATCTTGAATAAGAGTTTTCCACCCACAGTGGCAGATCCAGGAATTCCAGATCCAGGGACCTCTGAATCCACCTATGATCCAGGATAGCTGATCATTTCAGGACCTGTTTAACTGGCCATGTATTAAAACCATTGTTTCCAAAACCATTGTACAATAACTCACCGGTAGTTGGTCATCTGTGGATGGGTGGTAAAATGTGAATCATGTTTCTTTTTACTGTACATACTTGACCTTTTAATTGCTTGGGGAGTCTCTCAAATATCAAAGGGCTCCTTCTCAATGATTTCCAAATGAATGTCCTAGTTGTCATAAGGGGCTTTATGGATTAAACAGGGATGGATAATGTGTTTAAGATGATGTTAAAACTGTTTGAAATTTTATTTCTATTTATAGCCAGAATAGATCAAGTCTTGCCAACTAAAAAACATTGTTGTATTAATGGTATTAAAGTCATGTACAGGTTAGATACACATTTTTGTTTCAATTACACTTTTTTTAAAATAAATAAATACTATAAGTCCAACTAATTAATGAATATTAAGTTTACAATGTAACCTTGTAACTAAAAAAGTTGTGAATTCACACAGATTTCATTTACCATCTTCTTGTTATTCATTCATCCTGATTGTGTGCATTCATTTGGCACATTGATAATGTTGGTCTTATAAGGCCGTTGGCCTTATATCGATTTCTTACTTGCAGTATCATTTTAGGCTTGAGCCCATTTTCTTGACGATTGCCAAATAAATATTACTATTATTATAAGGATCCCTTTGGAAACCAGCAGAAATGTTTAAAGTGCTTGTCCTGCAATTCTCTATGATGTTGTTATTTACCCTTATCTGATTTTGTACTTTTACGTTGGGATTTTTAAAAATAAATCCAATGCGAACTGGAGATCTTATTCCTTTGTAATAGGTGTATATATTTACAATGTGTGTAACTAAAAGTCACGGGAGTCTCCCGGAAATCGGGATGGCTTCTCGTACTCCCGCAAGCAAGAATCATTTTTTTTTTGCCGCACCTACACTTTGGAAATCACTCCCTGCACACATTAAAAACTGTTCTTCTGTTGCTTCATTAAAAAAATTACTTAAAACTCACCTTTTCCATCATTAATGTGCACAGCGCCTTTGGTAATGCACCTTTAATTGACGCTTTATGAATTCTAATATTATTATTTTTATTATTACTATAGTTAAGAGTAGTTTATTAAGATGGGAATTGTATTACTTATTTTGATACTCGTGATGTATATTTAAATAATGAATACAGATTATTTGGTTCTAATGCTACAAGTTGAGATAATAAAGAATCTACATCCTTTGCAACAGCTTATACCTTCTTTAAAATCTTGTGTGTGTGTGTGTGTGTCTAAAAGTTAATAAGTGACATACAAATTTCTAGCATGAATAATTTCCCCAGCTGCTTATCAATACAATCCAAAAACCATTCTGTGATCACTACCTCATGAGCAAGATTGGCATGAATGTCGGCCCACTTCTGATCAAGAACATGCTCAATGTTATATTTGTACCATATCAAGCGCAAATTCAATCAATTTATTAATTAAGGATCTAATTACTTTTAATTCTTTAGCAATGGAAAGTAAGTTGCTACATTGTGTCTGTGTCAGTGAGGTAGCTAGGAGCACATCTGTTTGAGGGCGTCCCGCATATAAACTGTACCTATGAAATATTAAAGATTAATTTTAAAACAATGTGTAATGTTGCTTTTGGTGTATTTTAGTATGACTTTGTGCCTAAAGTTTTTAAATACCCTAGGTCAACTGGAGTGTGAGCCACTCTAGGCCACAATTTGATTGATGATGTCGAGTTATTATTATTAATAAAAAAGGGTATGATATACAGATATAATAAAGGGGTGGGACTTACTAATATTAGATAGCATAAAGAAATGAGAATTTAAAGTCAGAAAAAAAAAACGTAAATTAAAAGGTCATACACCCACACGTGCCAAGAAATTGAAACTAAAATTCATCCTGATTCAGTTAATTAATTCATGATGTGCCTATAACCACTTTCATTTGATTTAGAATATAGCAGTGAATCATTAGTATAAAGGTTCATCTTCAATTAATATTCTTTCATTCAGTGGCAAATCCATGGGGTTGATAAAGGGGCACTCACCCCCTCCTCCCCATTTTGGTAGTAGTAGCCAGAAAATCACTAACCATGTGAAATTATTTAAATAAGAGAATAAAATTGCTAAAATTGCTTCTCGGAGGAATAGCCTGCAACCTCACAATAGGTATGGGGACACCCAAATTCCACCCACTTTGAACCATAGGTCCTCGATTGCACCACTGGCAAAAAAAATATTCTGGATCCACCAACGTCTGTCTTATTTTTGATCAGATGAAAGTAATTAAGGTCAAGGCGAGACTAATGTGCTGGCTAATGAGGAAACATGAGTTGCCTTAACCCAGTATGATATACACTACTACAAAAATCTATGACTTAACATATATTATCATTATTATCATTATTAATGAAGAAAACATTTACTAAGATCTGGCAACCTTTCAATTGGCATTCTGCCCAATGCATTTAAGTTGGCACAACTTTGGTGTATCATGTGCCAAAAGATTTTAGTAGGGCTTAGCACCGGTTCTAAAAATAGAATTTTTTGTTGACGCAAAGGGTTGTGGGATTAAGATTGGACCATAGACATAAACAAGAAGTGGGGAAGCCTCACAACGCTCTATCTAAATTGCATACATGACCCTCATTTATATTGAAAAAGAAGATTCATGAGGGGGAATTTTCTAATCTGTAAGCCTAGAGAATCTCCAATAAATTATTAAAATAATATCTGTAATCTTCCACATTATCAATTTACCCTTTTCATGCATCAATCTATATTATACAACACCTGTATATATTCTATTCATTTGATTGGTTGAAAACAGGTCACGTGAGATATATTTAAAATACTAGTCAACTATCGTTGATTAGTACTTTATCATCTCCCAGACCACAAAAACTCAAATGCAACGCGATGCGAGCGAGAGAGAAAAATAGCCTAGCGTAGTTACAACCTGAGTGTCAACAAGGAGTTGATCATTCAGTGAGTAAAAACCCTGTGAGTAAAGAAGATATGACGAAGATTTTTCTATCGTCATATACAGCACCCTAGGCTAGGCTAAGCCCCAGGCTAGGCTTACACCCAAGGGCCTACAGGACAAAGGTATTTATTGATATAATGGAGATACAGATGTGTTGTATAAAACAAATAATGAATGTTTCTCATTCGTACAATGGGGTAGAATATTTCATGAGGGGAAAGATTGGATGTTCTATTCAACTCGGCTACACCTCGTATAATAGAACATCCAATCTTTCACCTCATGAAATATTCTACCCCATTGCACTCATAGACATTCATTATTTGTATAATAATAGCTAAAATTTATTATGAAATTAGTGGGAGATTTGAGGGGCAATATTCTGCAAGTGCTCTTTTTTTATTCATGAGGTTGCTGCCATAAACAAATTTAAACTCGAGGTCTGACAGACCATACAGGGATTAAAGCTATCCTTTGCTTTGCCCATGTTCAAGACAAAACATTATTTATCAGTTGTTAATTAACTATGTTAATAATTAATATAGCCTACACATTGGTCTATACATAGCATAGTACACAAACCAACTAATTGTTTTTGTCTTTTTTCACCATAGCACCATAATCAATGGTTATTTATAGTACCGTATGACTACTCACCTAATGCACACACAAGTAATGAAGTTCTATCCTGTAGAGGGCGGTAGATTTGTAAGTTTGATGTTGCAAAGCACAGCACTTTTAAAAGTCGTAGAGGTACAAGCAGCTCCTTTGGAAGAATACACAATATGTTAATGAAAAATTTCACCTTCAACAAATACAGTATACAAATACTTACTGGGTTGAGGGGCATGGTTCAAAATATAGCCCGAGGTATTATCTGCAGGCTGGAATCTATGTAGTCAGAATATAATAAGGCCAAGTTAAAAAAATAATAATAATTTCTCGTCCTAATATTTGAAAAAAAGAGAATGAGGGCACTTTTTTTACTTCAATGGCAAATCCAAGATGGCCGATGGGAAACAGCTACCGTCTTCTCACTTTTACCAAGTAGACACATTGAAAGCAAATAAAAGAAGCACTAGAATGATTCATACCATATGTATCCCCAACCACAAACGATTGAGAGAGGAATTTTACTGATGTGAGTTAGCCCGTACATTTGACATCACAGCAAATTTAAAAAAAAAAAAAAAAAAAAAAAAATTGGTGAGGAGAGAAAATGGAAGTGCGAGGAGACGAGAAACTAGTAATTTTGTTTTATTTGGTCTATCAGACACTTATTTGGTCTAACAGACACTTATTTGGTCTAACAGACACTTATTTGGTCTAACAGACACCTTTCAACACTATACTTCAATTTTTTCACCATTACCTTGGCTAGAGTGATACAAATTAAATCCCACTACATGTGAACATATTAGAGGAAGTAAATAATTTAATACTCAAACAGTAAGGTGCTAGTTTTATATTGGACTAAAACCAACAAACAGGACCAACACAACTTGCATTGCTGCCTTCCAGCTGAAACACAAGAATTTAACCAGGAACAAAATCTTTATTACACAGTTGCAACAACCAGATTAGTCAACTGTGCTAAACCCTCTAAACAGTAATATTTTACGGATGGTAATCCTTGACGTATGTTCCTAAATTATAAATCAAATTAAGATGCAAACTCACAATTTCATTCCTTGAGTGTGTATCACTATCTTCAATGAACCCTGTCAAATATTTAGTACATTCTTCAAACTTCTCAGCAAGATAGGCAATGGAAAGGACTGGTACATGGGGCTGTGAACAAGCATTGCTGGCTGAGCTTACTGTTACAGTTTCATGAACCAATGAATTATCGGTATCATTTGAGAGTAGTGCTGCCGTGACATCAAGAAACGTTACCCTTGAATTGTGGCTGAAGCTGTCATACACCTCCAGAAAAAAACCAGAAGACTTTAATAATTCTTGCAAGATTTGTAAGCTGAAAAACAATGAGCAGTTGCTATATATCTGGGTTCTATTTAGAAAACAAAATCTTATATAAGTCAATCAGGTTGTGCACAAATGTACTCCTATTGATGAATGAATGTTTTTGAAATTAATCATGCATGATGGCTTCGAAACTTCAAATGTAATAATAATACTATATAATACCTTGTGTCAAATGTAATAATAATACTATAATTACTTAAAATGTATACTGTAGTAGCTTTTGTTTAGAATGCTTAGAGCCATTTTGATCCAAATATAGGTAAATCTATGCAGACTTATTTATTTATCTTTTGCCAATTTTCGTCCTCCAATCTGGAATACCCTTCAGGTGTAGTGCGATATATGTCTGAGAGTTATTCTTTCCTATTACTCTCACTGAAGAGGCCCCGATTGGAGAGCCAAAAATTTCTAAAGATAAATTGAAAAGCAAATCAACTTAGATTACTTTATATTATTCTTATTGGTTTGAAATTGCTCTAAACATTCTCACCAAAACTGTACGTCGAATATGACCCTCTACGGACTAAACCTATTATAGAAAACTTCAAATTGTTACAATTTGCTAATTGGATTATTATTTGTATTACACGAACTACACTTACCACCAGTCTTGTTCAGTCTCTTTTGTAGAAAGTTCCAAAATGGTGTCTATGATGGCTAAACCCTGGGGCTGCATAATGAGTAGCTGTTGAAGGTCAGAGGTCAGAGAATGACAGATAAGCATACATGTATAAGTTTGTACTTTATTATCTGCATACTTTAACAATTGCCTGCAAAAATGAGACAAATTCATAGTGAGGTGTTTTGATATTTACCGATGGTCTGTATCTCCTATAAATGTCTAGGAACAGATTAAAATGACACAGCACCACTGAAAATTGTCACAACCCCTCGTTAAACAGCTCCAGTTCCCTCGAATGCTGTCTCTTATACACATCTAGATGTGTATAAGAGACAGTAATAAGGCCAAGTTAAAAAAATAATAATAATTTCTCGTCCTAATATTTGAAAAAAAGAGAATGAGGGCACTTTTTTTACTTCAATGGCAAATCCAAGATGTGAACATAGTAGAGGAAGTAAATACTCAAACAGTAAGGTGCTAGTTTTATATTGGACTAAAACCAACAAACAGGACCAACACAACTTGCATTGCTGCCTTCCAGCTGAAACACAAGAATTTAACCAGGAACAAAATCTTTATTAAGACCTCCAGCATTCAGCACAAACACAGTTGCAACAACCAGATTAGTCAACTGGGCTAAACTACCCTCTAAACAGTAATATTTTACGGATGGTAATCCTTGACGTATGTTCCTAAATTATAAATCAATTAAATTAAAATGCAAACTCACAATTTCATTCCTTGAGTGTGTATCATTATCTTCAATGAACCCTGTCAAATATTTAGTACATTCTTCAAACTTCTCAGCAAGATAGGCAATGGAAAGGACGGGTACATGGGAATGTGAACAAGCATTGCTGGCTGAGCTTACTGTTACAGTTTCATGAACCAATGAATTATCGGTATCATTTGAGAGTAGTGCTGCCGTGACATCAAGAAGCGTTACCTTTGAATTGTCGCTGAAGCTGTCATACACCTCCAGAAAAAAACCAGAAGACTTTAATAATTCTTGCAGGATTTGTAAGCTGAAAAACAATGAGCAGTTGCTATATATCTGGGTTCTATTTAGAAAACAAAATCTTATATAAGTCAATCAGGTTGTGCAAAAATGTACTCCTATTGATGAATGAATGTTTTTGAAATTAATCATGCATGATGGCTTCGAAACTTCAAATGTAATAATAATACTATATAATACCTTGTGTCAAATGTAATAATAATATTATAATTACTTAAAATGTATAGTAGCTTTTGTTTAGAATGCTTAGAGCCATTTTGATCCAAATATAGGTAAATCTATGCAGACTTATTTATTTATCTTTTGCCAATTTTCGTCCTCCAATCTGGAACCCCTTCAGGCGTAGTGCGATATATGTCTGAGAGTTATTCTATCCTATTACTCTCACTGAAGAGGCCCCCGATTGGAGAGCCAAAAATTTCCAAAGATAAATTAAAAAGCAAATCAACTTAGATTACTTTATATTATTCTTATTTGGGTTGAAATTGCTCTAAACATTCTCACCAAAACTGTACGTCGAATATGACCCTCTACGGACTAAACCTCTTATAGAAAACTTCAAATTGTTACAATTTGCTAATTGGATTATTATTTGTATTACACGAACTACACTTACCACCAGTCTTGTTCAGTCTCTTTTGTAGAAAGTTCCAAAATGGTGTCTATGATGGCTAAACCCTGGGGCTGCATAATGAGTAGCTGTTGAAGGTCAGAGGTCAGAGAATGACAGATAAGCATACATGTATAAGTTTGTACTTTATTATCTGCATACTTTAAAAATTGCCTGCAAAAATGAAACAAATTCATAGTGAGGTGTTTTGATATCTACCGATGGTCTGTGTATCTCCTATAAATGTATAGGAACAGATTAAAATGACACAGCACCACTGAAAATTGTCACAACCCCTTCGTTAAACAGCTCCAGTTCCCTCGAATGTGCCATACAGTAGCTGTTATTACTACCACCATCACTACTAGTTCCTTCAGTAAAATCACCATGACTACCATTATTATCACCATGACTACACTATCATCACCACCCTTGAAAGACAATCCACCAACATTATATTTATGACAACAAAATCATAACATTTCACCCTCAAATCATCATAAGCAATAACGCCTCTCATCTTTAACATGAAGCTTCCAACTATTTCGTGCCATTTGCTTATGTCATAGCCAGGATGGTTTTGTGGTTTTTTTTATTACATGTTCTGGTTCCTTTTCAACTTTTGCAATCCACATTAATTTTGGTCGATTTACTTTTTATTTACTTCTTTCATTGCCATTTTGACCCTCAAATAACTTACCATAAAGTGTCTGGGAAAATGTTCATCCAGATCATCTGCTGAGCTTGTTTATTGCCACTTCCTATATTGCTAAGGACTTGAATAGCACAGCAAAGTGTTGTTGCTTGTTTGCTGCCCTCTGGATGCCTTGTCAATACATCTACCAACTTCTTGATGAAACTAATTGCTTCAGTATTACTAAAAAATGAAAGAATGTATATTCAAGCAGGTATACAATAGAAAAAAATCAATAGAAAAGAATGACATGACTATCCTATGGCTGTCACCTAAAGTCTTATGACTTTCACAAGATTGTACATGGTAGTCACATGGCTGTCATATGATTGTCCATAGTAGTCACATGGCTGTCACATGATTGTCCATGGTACTCACATGGCTGCCACATGATTGTCCATGGTAGTGTACTGAGTCAGGATAAATTGCTGTCGGTATGATTTAGGAGTTTTAAGAAAAATTAAACAAAATAAAAATACTTTAGTTAGATACTTTCACTGCTAATTATCCTGTGAGTTTTCTGCTATTTAGGCCCTATAAAAAATATTATTAGTTCATCATCCTATCTAGGCTGGAAAAGTAATGAGGTCAGTAGGATTTAGGGGTTTTAAGCAGACTTTAACAAAATAAAAATACTTTAGTTAGATACCTTCACTGCTAATCATCCTGTGAGTTTTCTGTTATTTAGGCCCTATAAAAAATATTATTAGTTCATCACCCTATCTAGGCTGGAAAAGTAATGAGGTCAGTATGATTTAGGAGTTTTAAGCAAACTTTAACAAAATAAAAATACTTTAGTTAGATACCTTCACTGCTAATTATCCTGTGAGTTTTCTGCTATTTAGGCCCTATAAAAAATATTATTAGTTTATCACCCTATCTAGGCTGGAAAGTAATGAGGGAGGGAGGCTTTTTAAAAATGTTTATTTTGCTAAAGCCAAATATCACTTTTGGGTTGTTTCCTGGTGCATTGATAATCAAAGTAAAACATGATTTAAATGATACAAACAATATCTACTAACTACTGAATAAATTTTTTTTTTTTAAATTCCCAAAATTTTTTTTCAGTACCATAGAAGACATGTGCTGAAGGGTGATAGACTAGTAATTTTTTTTATTGGGCCTTAGCTCAAATACAGTATGAAGTGCAAAAGATGGTTTTATAGCAATATGCACTAATAGCATTATTATTACAACACCTTAAATATTTGGAAATTGGAGCAGTGGATGTTATTGGTGGTTACTCTATGTACAAGTGAGTTGGGTATATTTCCTTTAATTTTTCTTTCTATGTGCAGTGATCATATAATTTTGTTATTACTATAGGTTATGGTACAGTACATGAGCAGTTTAAATGCTAACAAAGAATCAATTATCAAATATTATTTCCACTATTTTAAAATATCAATTCATAGCAATTCTTACCATAGCAGGTTTTGGTTACGTGAACAATCCACACAAGAATTCCGTAAACATCTCAAGCACTCCACACAGACATCATGATTGGGCAATTTCATTGCAACACTACTTGCTTCCTTTACCACAGCCTCCAACTCCTGGCCAAGGATTTTAACAAAGACATCAATATGTGGGCAGTCTAAAATCTCCCTGGAAGGCAACGATACAAAGCAAGGTGGTTATTGTGCAACATTTTATAGGAGCATGTGGCACAGCGTGTAAGGTGACAATTGACAAGTGCATTAGAAAGGGTGCAACACCGCTACACCAGATTATGTTTATGTCCTGATGATATTAATTTCCAGCTTTGGTTCACAGAAGAAAGGATATCGATATTTTGGAATTATACAAGATCCTGCGCAATACATATAAAACTTCTCCTGATTTATTCTTCTCTCAACCTTCAAGTAAGGGCCTCATGGGTATTCAATGACAGCATATTGCAAACCTAAAACAACTGAAGTTGGAAACAATTTTTTAGTAATCGTGTGACATCTGATTGGAATAAATTACTGGAGAGCGTCGTTTCAGCACCCAGTGTGGATTCCTGTAAAAGAAGATTGAGGGCCCTACCGAATGAGGGAATAGAGCCTAGAGGGCCAACGGCCCTAGTTAGTAGTAGCCAAGTAAGTAGAGCAACAACACTGACAGAGCCCAGCGGCAATGATGTCACATCCACGGCACCATGCGTAAATCTAGGCTAGTAGACCCACAGCAGTCAGGGTAGTAAGACTAGGCCTAGACTAGGCCTATATACCTAGCCTAGCCTAGGAAGGGTAGATCGGTGGAGGTTGCTGCATATATAGCTAGGCCTAGCTAAGCCTAAGCTAGCCAGGCCTAGCTTGCTAGGCGTCTACTACGATAATTGTGAAAGATTAACCTGTTTTTCAACTGTTTTAAACCATCTGTTATGTTCTTAAGGGTTTCAAGAAGCTGTTGATCAATCTCACTTCTTTGATCTAAAACTTGTCCATGCTCAATAAGACGATTTAACGCCGTACAAAACATTTTCAATGAAGCCAAAAACAAAACATGTGTGAATATTGTTGTTTATGTGCTCGCATCGGGAACATGTAAGTTGACGCGAATTAACATAAAAGTTGACGCGAATAACATGAACGTTGACGCTAATTAAAATAGTTGTTGACGCGCAGGTAGCAAAGTTGACGTTAATCACCAAAAGTTGACGTAAAATGACGCGAGGTTGCATTCAGAAAAAAAAATCCCAAGCAGTCAAATCGTCGGAGCAGCAGCGGAGAGTTGTGTTTGGGTGTCCTTTTCGTTAATTATTAAATATTAGGCCTTTATTGTTCTTGTCAGTCATGTCATCAATAAGATCAATGGCGGTAACTACTTTTACATTCGTTCTTACTTGTGTAAACCTTACAGTTAGCCCTACCTGGAGTTAGGGTGTAAATTTAAGCCTGGTCTAAGTTTGATCTAGGCCTGAGTGAGGAGTCTTTGCCTTATTTAGCAGACTCCCCTTCGGTCATCTGAATGAAAGGCCCTACTCCCTCTCTGCAGTGTCAGTGCTACCTTGCTAGGCTACTCTCTAGAGACTAGACTGTCTTGTACTAGTAGAAGTACTATGCTTATTCGATTATGGTGCCCTCTACCGTGTGAGGCCACTCAGAAATTAGTTTAATTTAAATACGGTCTTTTGCTTTACATTAATTTATTTACAGCCTGCACAGGGAAAATATTCTCCACGCAAAAATTTGGCATAGAAATAATTATTACGCTCAGATTTTGCTAAAAATTAGGATTTAACCTAACTTTAAATTATAAACAGTGTATATGCAGTATTTACGATTCTGCCCACATATTTTCTTAGCGATTTTGCACGCAAATTTGAGCAGGTTTTTGAGATATCATTCGTGCAATTAAATATTAAACTTTTGTCCACAATTCAATTAGTGTTAAAAAATTTCAGCCACCAGCTCATATAGATATAAGAATCTTGCTTGTAACACAATGTTTAAATCTTTTTCAGGGTTTGGTTAGCATTGTGACTGGAGGCGCATCCGGCCTCGGCAAAGGCACGGCTGCCAGACTTGTACGTCAAGGTGCACGAGTTGTGATTGTTGATCTGCCCAACTCATCTGGAGAGGATGTTGCTAAGGAACTTGGAGAGAATTGTAAATTTGCAGCTGCTGATGTTAGTGTTTAAGTATCAAATCTCTTGGAATAGATTACAATTTGTTGTTTAAATATTAAAGCATAAAGTACAAAGCATACTCACAATTTTATTTAATTCATCCATTGAAATTTAATGATAATGATACAAAATTTAAATATTTATGTTACTCTATATTGAATTGAATGTTAAATTGTTTATACGGTAGGTAACATCAGAACAAGATGTGAAAAATGCTATTGACATGGCAAAAAGCTCATTTGGACGACTGGACGTCGCTGTGAATTGCGCTGGTGTAGGTATAGCTGTCAAGACATATAATTTTAATAAAGACAGAGCACACCCACTGGACGAGTTCCAAAGGGTATTAACAGTAAGTTTAATCATTCCGGCATTGAAACAATAAATATTTATCAGTCTTTGAAACCGAATTTTGTTTACTACCTGAGCTTTGTTTGTTCAAATTTTTTAGAATATCCGAGCAAGTATAACTACAGTACTGTAGGTCGGTCACACCCACGCCTTAGCATGGATCCTCCATTCGTGGCTGGCTGGCTGGTTGCTAGCTCATTTGTCTCTTCTAATCCAGAATATTTTTTCAGTAAATTTATGAATAAGTATAGTGTAATTTAATATCAGTTCACACAGTGATTGAAATTTTATTTTTTTCAAATTAGGTAAATACAGTAGGTTCTTTTAACGTGATACGTTTAGCTGCCGGTGAAATGGGAAAAAATGATCCCGATGTGGATGGTCAACGAGGTGTGATCGTAAACACGGCAAGTGTGGCCGCTTATGATGGCCAGATGGGTCAAGCTGCTTACTCAGCCTCAAAGGGTGCTATTGTTGGGATGACGTTACCAATCGCTAGAGACCTAGCATCGCAGGGCATAAGAATTAACACAGTAGCTCCAGGTAAGATGCATATACAAGCCAATACATTGATCTTTAAATATATAAATATTATTGATATAATACTGATTATACAAATAAACCAATATTATATTAATATTGTTTAATTTATATTAGTAACTTTATATAATTCATATTTAATATGTAACGAATAATGTATGTATAAATTACATGAATATATATGAAGCGCATAGATTCTGAACATTGGAAATTTATTTTATCTTCAGGACTCTTTGACACCCCATTATTAGCAAGTCTTCCAGAGAAGGTTCGGGCATTCCTAGCTCGCACAGTACCCTTTCCCAGTCGTCTTGGTAGCCCGGATGAGTATGCACACTTGATTGAGAGCATTATAGCGAATCCAATGTTGAATGGAGAAGTTATTCGTCTTGATGGTGCTCTGCGTATGCAGCCATGAGAACAACTTATGGGCTAGGTCAGGCTAGGCCAGGCTTGGCTAGGCCAGGTCTTCTGTCAGTAAAGCAATGAGGGCATTTATTTGTACTGACTGCCACAGATGAAATAATCATGAAAAAATTTTAGGGTATATTGAAAATCACAGATTATGTTTAGTGATAGTGAATGATGAATGCAATAAATACAGTATTACATACTAAATTTTGGAATTGGTTTTCCTTTCTTCTATAAGCCGATTCACACACAAGATTACACATGACATATACTAAATATTACTGATTTCTATCAAAATTACTATTAATCATCTTCACACAATTAATTGAAACCATATTAAAGTTGGTGGAATTGCACTCACTCTAGGATGCACTGAACAGAGTTGCCTTTGAATATAGACCATTTTATCGGGTTTATTTTGAAACAGTGCTGCCAACGTCTCGCAACTCACTGGGTGACTTCCCGCGGCCTAGGCCATCCTGATCAGCTATCTACAGTGTAGTGTTAGACAGAGCGCCGTGCGCACACTGGTGCCTTTGTATCGCGAAATGCGTAGGTCTCTGGAAGTCCCCAGTGGTAGTTGCCAGGTTATCGGAAATTTTCATTTCAAATTTCACGAAAATGGTCTATACATGCATATCTCGGTAGTGTTAGACTCTGTAGACACTATCACATTTTATTTGACTAAAAACTGTTGTATGCCCATATATATAGTAATAATGTGCCTATTTATGGCCATGATGTCATGTCATCATGACCATATTCAGGTATTTTGCATAAAATTTTATAGGCTCTCAGGGTCTCTTCTATGTCAGTTTTTCTTGTATTGTTTTTAAGCAGGACACAAATGGTACACTCGCATCCACATGGACATGATGTAATAGGAGTCGCTTGCTAATTTTTCCCTAGCACTTATCCCATTTATGTTGTCTGGTATTAGAACTTTTTTACCCTATAAAACTGACAGACAGCACAATAATAAATGCATCCAAAACCAATAGGCTTAAATGTTATTTTTAATATAGTCTTAACATCCCAAGGAATTCTCTACTGGTAGAGTATTTAAAACGAAATACTGTATGATTTTTATTGTAGCATTTTGTATTTAATACAATATATTGTTTTCCTCACCTTGAACGCCCACCCATCATGCATCTACTAAATCTACATCTCATTAGTTTATCCCGATGAAACGGATTACAATTCTTAATTGATCTTTATAGCACACATCTACTGTACATCATCATAGAATCACACCATAGCTAAATACAGTTGAACTTGCCTAAGTCAAATCCATAATGACATTAAAAAAATTATTTGACTTGGATAAAATGTGACTTACAGATGGTTAATTAAGTGAAAAAAAACCAATTTGGTATGTTAAATAAGATTGATTTAGAAATTATTCAAGTTAGGCAAAGTTGATTAATAGGCAAGTTTAATTATAATACTAATTTATAGGCAGTGTATTATTGTTGTGCAGGTTTCAAGAAATCCTGATATTTCCATATTCAGGTCAACATTCTGTATCTTTAAAATGAATTCTCTTTTCCTTTCAACATTAATTATGGATACAGGAAAGTGTACGATAAGATGTCTTGGATAAAATAACCCTGAATGGTTATGGTGCCCACTAAAGGTACTGTGTATATGATAGTGTCTCATCACAAATTATCATGCATAATGTATAAAATATTTATGGTTTCATTGCTTATATAAAAAAAAACAAGTATGTAAACAGAAACTGTAACTGATCCATCGGACCTGCGAGGGAAATGAACAAACACCACAACCAACCAATCAAAGTAAAATTTTACATTTTTGTCCTGACAAAAATGACATGTTTAGTACTCTTCTTCATTTTTTGGGTGTGTTCAGAGGCAGAAAAACTGTTAACTGTTTTTAGTTTACTACTTAACAGAATAATCTTGCTTACATTTGCCAGCAAAGCCTCCTCCATGACAGTAAGCGCTTAGAGGGGACCCAAGATTACTTGAAATGGGACCACTAATAAATCTTACTCCAGCATTTAGTCCATAATTGGATACAAATTTGGTCATCAATTTTTAATATTTAAAAAAATAATTTTTACATCTATTTTTTATTCTTTTAAAATAAAATAACATAATACTTCAGCCCTGGGTGTCATTATTTTAATATTACTGCTTATTAATATTTTTTACCATTTGTACCTCCATTTCCAAGAAAAAATATATTGTATCATAATTTTTGATTGATAAAATTGTAAAGATTTTTGGCCATCCTTGTGAATCAATCCCTTCCTTTAGGTCATGGCAAATGTCAAATCGAACATATTTACATATATGACTGCAGAATTTACATTTTAGAAAATCTGTAAAGCTACTGTATGGTCCCATAATCTCAATAGCTGTTGTTTCTAATGTGGACTTAATCTGTTATAATTTATTCCATCACATGAAATCATACTCTGAAACGTGAATCTTGATTACAGCTATTGACCGGTAGACAAGTGCCATTGCTCGGTTGTATGTACTCATCTCTAATTTGATCTCTGTTTCATATGGACCTTCGACTGCTTTCACCAAGTACAATGTTCCTACAAGAAAAAAAAAATCTCACTTAACAAAATAAATATTTCAAAATGGTTCTAATTAGAACCTATAAAAAATGATATCAACACCCATAAAAACCGGAACTGAGAGAGACAAGTTGGAAGAGCGTGCTTAGCCCGGTGTGTGTTTGTGGAAGCGTGAAGCATTAGGTATTTCTTCTGCTTGTTGATGGTAGGAGAGACATGTATCAGTTCAACAGTGTTATGATGAATAAATAACTTTGAATATGATATGACAACTTTGGACAAAAGGAGAACTCTGTTGCCAATACTGTAATTGGTTTAACTTTGAAGAAATTGGTTTGAATAGAAGTTTTAAATCTTCCTTCATCACACTGGTGGTGCCAGCAGTGGGCTGGGGGAATTTTCCCCCCATCGGACAGGCCTGGAACCCCCCTGTCATCAAGTTTATTTAAAATCATGTTCGCAAAGATGAATTGCATTGATTTGTACACAATAATTAAAAATACATTAGAATATAAATATATAAATATAGTACACAAGAAAAAAAAAATACATACAAATTGAAATAGAATAAAATTTACAAGAGGTTACATATTCCAAAGTTACAATTTCATAATTAAAAACACACAATAAAGGTTAATTAAGCAAAGGTACGAAATATGGTAAAAAGACGGAAGAAAACCACAGTTGAACAACTAGGTCAGGGGCAGATTTAGGGGGAGCCGGCCCACCCCCCCCCTAAATGTCCCCCCACTAAAGGTAAAAAAAAGAAAAAGAAAGAAAAAGAAAAAACGATAGCCCAGAAAGCCTCAAATGTTATTTTCGGGCATCTAAAACATAGAAATTTCGCGGGGCATACCCCCGGACCTCCTAATTTAGTGTTGTCTCGATAGGCCCAAAATTCGGCCCCCTCTTTTGGCCCCCCCCCCACTTTTAGACATCTCTGGATCCGCCCCTGTAGGTTGTTGGATCAAAAATCTAAAAAAAAATAATAATTTTCCTGTCCAAATAACCTATTTTGATTGTCAATCCCTAATATTGTGGTCTAAATGCACACTTCGGACCATAATACTGTAAGCCATAAACTCCCCCTTGTGAACCCTACCAGAGATTTTTTTTTTCCGGGTCGTCGACCAAGGCTTTGTCGGCCCCTTGGTTCCGAACCCTCCGTCGAACTCCTCATCGGCAAATTTCTGATGCCACCGTCATCCAAAGTGTTAAAAAATAATTTCTATTTCTTACGGCTTACCTATGGTCCCTGCCTTGATAACAGCAAAGTATGTATGCTCATTGCCAGAGAGTATCTGGTAGTATACTGCACTCGTACTGGAGAGTGATGTTGGCTGCATGCTGATAAGACGTATCTGATTGCCAGGCCGAAGTGCTGGAATTGATGGCAATGCTAAGTAGTTGTACGAGATAACAGATGTTTTATTCAAAAGGCAAGAGACATCACCCTGTGGGCACGCAGCTAAGTTCCGTATGCATCTCTGCACATCTCCGTATCCAGCACTAGATTTATGAAGTAAAATCAATCCATAGATTATATTGTGGCAGACATCCAGACTATAATAATTTTGAATAAGTTTGAATATTTTCATCTGGTTTGCTTATACAGTAAATGTAAAACTGTTTGCTCGATATTTAAACCAAGCACAGTGGACATTGATGTTAGCAATGTGACTTTGTTAAGACAAAGTTATGTTGATAACTTTAAAAAAAGCTCACAGTAAGTTTACATCCAATTTGCTTGGTTTAGATA